GCTTATTTCGAACTTCCCTTGCCCTAATTCTTCTTCTAACGTTAATAATAATATTATATAAGAAAATTGTGTATATATATTATTAAGAATTCTATATTTGAAGGAAAATATAATATAATAATAAATTAATATCATATAAAACGGTTTTAATATATATTAATATTAGTAAATAAATTGACGGTTTATATTATTTATCCGTTAAAACTATAAAATTTTAAAATTTAACTATTTAAAGGCTATATATATAGTATTAATCTTCAATAGTATAAGTAAGAAGAAAAATAATTATATTTAGATAATATTAAAAATAATATTATTAAAAATATTATCACAAGTAATATTAAGATTAATAATAATATATTAATAAGGATTAAATCGATTAATTTAAACGAACTATATAAGCGTTTTATTTATTATAATACGAATAATATTAATAAATATTATTAAAAAATACGATTATTTCTTAAATTTATAAAAAGGTTTATAATAAGAATTATTCTATTTAATATAAAATTTAAATAAGTAATAAGAAGATTGAAAATTATTAAAGATAATTTTATAAAATTAATAATAACTATTATAATTTACTTACTCTAAATCTGTAAAGTAATTATAAATATTTAATAACTTTTATAGACGCTATTCGTTATGTGGATATTATTTTAATAAAATAGGGAAAGGATTTATCAAACTAGTAATTCCTTAATAAATAAGGAAGAAAAATATAGATGATAAAGGAATAATATATTAATTAAATATTTTTAATACAAGTAGAATAAAATGTTTTTCTTAAAAAATAAAATAGAATTTTAATGAAAAAAAAGTATAAGCCTTATATTAAATAAAAAAGTATTTAAAAACTTTAGGGAGTAATGTTAATAACGGACGCGTATTTATAAGAAGAAAATACTCTATAAATTAATAGAGTTTAAAATATTTTATAAATTAATATATAATAAATATTCAATATCAATATATTATAATTAAGGGATTTATTATCTATTATAATTAAGGGATTTATTATCTATTATAAATTAAAGGGATTTAATACTTTATATTAAGCTTCTAGGTTAAAGAATCAATATTTGTAGGCTATAAGCAAAATAATAATAATTATGAAGCTTTTAATTTGTAAATAAATAAGGCGTTCTAAGTACGAAATATTAGAGTATTAGAAGGATAATATGCTAATATTTTAAAAAAGATTTGATTTTATTTCTAGTATAAAGAATAATACTAATAATAATAATAATAGTAATGAAAAGAATACTATTAAATATAATTTAGAAAATATTATTAAGAATATTAATATGAAATATTAATCTAATTATAAAGTTTAATTCGAAGAAATTATAAATAGTAGTAATTTAAATACTTATTTTAATGACAAAATTTAATTATAAAAATAATAATAGTTAACTCTTATATCCTATTTGTTAATAAAATCTAGGCTAACTATTAAAAATTATAAAATATTCTAATAATAAATTTCTAACGAAAAATATATATAAATTACTATTATAATATTTACGCGTCGTAATATTAGAGAATAAAAAGGAAAGATTATAGAGGAATTTTAATAAAAGTATACAAATAATTATATTCTTAATATTATTAATAAGTTTAGTAATATTAAAGAGCCTTCTTATATAAATACTATAGCGAATCCTTATAATTAATAATAAATAAATTTTATAAATATAAAAGTAGAAGAATTAGAAAGATTACATAGGAAATAATAAATATATTTAAAAATAAATTAGTTATAAAAAGCAAATAGATTTTTAAATTAAAAACCTATAAATGAAGAATACTAATAATAAAACTAATTGAAATAATTAAAAATATAATAATAATAATATTGTTTTTAATAGCAAGAATATAAATACTATTAATATTAATAATAATAATTGAGTAATATAGTCTTTATTATAAGTATTAATATTAGCTAGGATTATTATAATAAGATATTAATACTTTAATTTATAAATATAAAGATAAGTATATATATATTATACCCTTAATTAATTATTATAATAATTAATTACTTTATAAAATATATAAATTAAAGAAAAGCCTTATTACTATAATATACAGATATCGCATATAATATATATAAATAATTTAGCGAATATAATAATTAATTAATTATAACGAATAAAAGGAAGGAAGAAATATAACTTTTAAAAGGCGACGGATAAATATAGGAGTAATATAAGGCTACGAAGTAGGAAGTAGGTTTATAAAAAGGGATGTATTTAATAGAAGGTTATATAGTTATATAGCGCTATAATATTTATATAATTTTAAATAAAGTTTTAAATATTTTTTTAATTCGAAGGTTTTTCCCTTCGATAATAGTGTTTTTATAGGTAATAATTTCAATTTCATTATTATTAAACCGTTAAGAATAGTAAATACTTTTTTAAAACAAAATAATAGTTTAAAATAAGTACTTTTATTTATATATACTAATATAATAACACTAAGAAAAAGCTTAGAAAATAGGGTTTTTATCTTATTCTTCTATATATATATATATTGCTATATAGGATAATAAGGCTTTCCTATTAAAAAAATTCTTAATATAAATTACTATTCTACTTATATTAAAGTTTCTAGTGTTCATGACATTTTTATTTTATATATATATATTATATATTAAAAATAATATATTGAATATTAAATAGAATAAAGCGAATTAAAATCCAAATCCTATATTGAAAAATTAAAGTTAATTTACCCTAGAATTAAACTCAATTTATAAAATAATAAATAGATTAAATATTTAATTCTGTATATAAACTATCTTAAATTAAAAATAGCTTATAATAATAATAATAATAATAATCTTATATTAAAAGATTATTCTATTAACACCTTTATTAATTATTAAAATTTCAAAAGCTTTAGTACTAAATATTTATACTCTAATATAATAAATACTTTAAGCTTTATATCGTATATATATAAAGGTAGTATAGTTTGTTAATTAATTATCCCAAATATTATAATAGAGGTTATAATTAATAATAAAGCTAAATCTATATATATTTTATTAGAGAATATTTAATTAATATCTTAATAAAGTTAATAAATACTAAAACCTTAATAAACTAGCGATCTAAAACTAGTTTGGAAGAAAAATAGAATTTTAAAATATTTTTAATATTTATTACCTTTTTACCTTATATATATAAATATATTATTGAATATTATTATAATTTTAATTATATATAATAATTATAAGGAAGAGTTTTTAAATACAAATACTTTTCTCTTTCGTATAAGAATTTATATTTTTGTTCTCTTATATATATATAACGAATTTTAAATATATAATGGATTTATAAGTTTATATTATCTTGAAAAAAGTATAAGGGTTAATAATATAGAAATATATATTATATATTATTATTGAAAAAAATTACTTAATTTTCATTTATTAAATTCGAATTACAATTTTAATTTCTAATTTCTTTTATATATAAGTTTAACCCTAATATACTTAGTAATAATTAGAAGGTAGGGAAGAACCTTCTTATAAAAATAATAATTACCGTCGATATGAAAGTAAAGTAATAAAAATTAATTTAAAGGGGGTAATAAAATAGTTAATTCGAATATTAAATAAATAAATCTACTACTGTTAAATTAAATTAATAGCCGCGGTTAATATATAAATGGAATACTAAGGTAATTAAAGTAAATAATTCGATATTAAATAATTAATAATTATAAATAAAAGTTAAATAAAAATGGAAATGATTTTTATATAAACCTTTAAGACTAGTATATATTTCAAATAGACTAAATATACTAGAATTATTATAGTGCACGGTTTAATAAACTATTTAGGACTAATTATATAAAATTATAATTAACATAATAATCATACGGAATTTCAAAAATTATTTTAAAAATATTAGAATCCTATTATAAGTAGGACTTGAGGTTTATAATATAGCAGCTATACGCTTATATATTAATACTAATATATAGAAAGGTTGTACGTATCTTAGAATTATATAGAGTTTTTAGTATAAATACTTAATTTTCGTACTTATAGTAAAATAGAAATAAAATTTGTAGCTTAGGTAGGAGGATAAAATAAAAATCATATTTACGTTATAAAACTACTTATAAACCCATATACAAATTTTGGTCATATTTGGACTATTGGTTGTTGTGTAATTAAATGCTATATAAAAACCCTATAGAAAATGCCCGATTTTTGCTGTCCGGTTGGGTTTTGGACTGTACGGTGGTTTTGGCACCAACTCTGTGGAGCAGAGTTGGGGAATAGATAGGAACTGTCAGCCTCACCAACGGGTAGCAGGATTGGCAGGGAGAAACAGTTACGCGTAATATACTGTATGGCTCTTACTGTACTATGTAGATATCTCGATTCCTCCAGCGAGATGATATCACTTTCCGGATTTCCATCCACGACAGCCCTTGTTGTCGTCCCTGCAAACTGACGGAACAAAAAAAAAAGAGAGAGATCAACAAGCAGCGGTCCGATCTCTTTCCTGTTCCTTGATGCTTGGTCTGTTTCGTTCGCGGCAACCCACAATGCTTGTCTCTTTGATTCCCTGCATTAGCCCCGTTTCACGTGAATCCGACATGAATGATTTTCACTTTTACGTACATGCATCCCGTTATTGTATGTATCGTTTTCCCGAACATCGTCCTTTGCCATTCAACACTCCAAAGACCAGCCCTGCCGGCCAATTTAACTTTTTATACATGTTGCTGGTGCTTTTCTAGCTATCGTTTTTTGCCCTTCTTGCAACGAGAAAGAATGGAAGCCTATATCAAGATGGGTATCCTTTTGTGCTTTGCTCTGCTGTGCTGAAAACCGTGCCCCAGCGCCCAGTATCCTGCCTGTACGCCTTTTCCCTGCCCGTTTACGTACCTTTAATCCCGTATCCTGTCGGTGTGCAAGGTCGTGCCGCTTCCGTACTACCACCTGGTCCTGGATAGAGCACTGTCCGCCTTCAGAACAATCCGCCGTCTTCCTCGTGCAACGTTGACACGGCCGCAGAGTTGCTTGTTCTTCCCGGCCCTCCCGTCATCGCAACCCCGATCGGCCCAACGCCACCACCTCTGGCTTCACTACTAACCACAGTAGAGGACATGGTAGAGATGGCCATCGGCCTCAGCGGTAATCTAGGCGGCGGGCTCACTCCGCCTGTCGAGATAGATCTGGTGCCCCTGACGGGTGATAGCGATCCGGCCGCATGGCCGGAATTACCAACAATCGCGCTGGTCACTTTCCTTCCGCTCCCGTTTCCGCTTCCATTCGCACCATTCCCACTTCCGTTGCCGTTGCCGTAACTGTATCCGTAGCCATTGTCGCTCCAGCTCCCCCAGCTGCCACGGTCTTGGCCCGAGTACTCCCCAATAGCGTCATGGTCACCAGAGTCTCGTTCATCCCTTGGCGATGAGATAGCCCGCGCTTGGTTCCACATTGGGCTCACACCCATAGCCAAGGATGATGTGTGTGATAGCGGCGAAATAGGCGGCGGCGGCGCTGATGGGACCGATCGATTTATCCGTGAACCGAATGGGAACGATGCTGGTTTTACCAAGTCCGGTATCTCCAGCGGCCCCTCATGCGGTCGCGGAGGGCGTGTTGGTGATGTGGGCGGCGGAGACGTGGTTCGAGAAAAGGAAAACGCTTCGTTCCGTAAAGATGACGGCCCTGTTGTCGAGCCTGCTCCGAAGCTACTCAGACTTCCCCGGCTTCCGGGCGCGCCAGAACCATGCATCCCAAACAAGGCCGGGGGCGGTAGACTAGGAAGACTGCCAGTGGTGCCGTGAACCCTTGGTGTGCGCTCGTGCCGCGGTACGAGCTTGTTCGTCGTGGGCGATGTTATCGGTGACGACGGAAACATGACGCTGGAGTGGCCGCCGCCATGGCTGTGTGCCGGGGTGAGCGGCGTCAGGGGCGGAGAAGGTGACTGGTTGTGGCCCGAACGTAGGATCGAAGGGAGCAGCTTGCGGTCCCGTAGGCGGAGAGGGGGTATCAGCGGCCTGGAATCGTGGCTGGACGCAATTAGCGGCGTGGGCGAACCCCTAGGAGCAATCCCGTTATCTAACCTCGAGCGAGACCGTCCCCGGACGTCATCTAAGCCAGACCGGTGCTTCTTTCGTCTTTGCAGGCATAAAAAGGCCAAAGCAACCATGACGATGAACCCGGTAACCGAACATACCGAGATTGCGGCCTTAACCCCCATGGAGAGCCCGCCTTTGGATGTTGTAGTCCCGTTGTTTACACCAAAAGACCCGGCAACCGTGGGCCGGGCTGGTGTTGCTGATAACCATGATGGGTCCGTTATGAGAGAGACATCGTCAGTTGTGCTTGGTGTTGCTGTGGACGTTGATAAAGACAGAGGCGCAGTTGCGCTTGAAAACGTTGCGCTTCCAGAAGTCGAGGGGATGGATATCGGTTCTTGAACCACCGGTGGGGACGGGGTCGACACGGGGTTAATCTTGACGCGTGTTCGTGAACAAGGCCCAGCTCCTCCTTCGCTGGTTTGGCAGACAAAGTCCCTGGGTGGTGGTCCGGGGTCTAATACCGAGTGAAATCCAATGCTGCCATCTCACGTTAGCATTGCAAGTACTCTCAAGCTCATAACGACCAACTGGAAATGCTCACTCACTCCTGACAGCTGTTGATGATCAGGTCGACGTTTGCTGGTTGTCCTACTTAGCCCGAGACACTGACGGTTACTTCTCCGGCTACCACTCACGGTCTTGTTGCAGTCCCCCCGTCTGGTTTATCCAGACTCCGCAAAACGTTGCGTCGCACCAATATAGCGACCAAAATCGAGAGCTGGGTGTCGTGCTCGTCAGATCCTTGCAAACGTATTTCCAGCCCTCGGGGGTCTCGTGGTCGATCGACACCGTCTCCAGAAACTGGTCCTTGCAAGATTGCAAACACTGTTTCGCTTCTGCTGTTGGCGATTCGCCTCGAATTTCGATCGCTTCCACATAGCACCCGCATTCCTCATCGACCCTCGAACCCTCCATATTTTTCGCAGCTACCTCCAAGGCCATCTAGTTGGTGCTCAGGATGTGTACGAAGCCGAGCTAGAAGTCGATGGCACAGTCAAATGCATAGTACTTGGCTACTTCACCATAACTGCATGACCGGACACCGAGATGGTGAGTTTATCGCGTGGGGAGGTGTCCAAGGTATATAGAGACAGAAGTGCTTGACTGGTGCCAAATCGCCTGCTCCGGAGAAAGAAGGATGTAATCAAGGGAGTGTTGATAACTAATCAAGTGAGGATAACTAAGTGGCGTTTCTTCAAGCAGAAGATTCAAGGAGTGAGCTTAAGGTCTTGAGAGACCCGTGGGAACGGGTGTGAAGTTCTGCGCGATACTATATACTCGACCCAGACGGCTTTCTCATCAGGGCCATGCGTATCAAAAGAGATAGGAGAGGCCCATGATGTTGAGGAACGGGAACACAACATCGTTCGAGTCACCACGGGAGGGGTTGCTAGACATGTACACTGGAGAGAAAGAAGAGTGAGAGTGAGAAACAAAAGGACAGGTAGAGCGAGGACTGGTGCTGGAACAAACGAAGCATCAGCCGGGTGAGAATGAGATACACATCGCCTGGAAAAGGAAGATTTTGTGTTACACGGTTACTGCGCGTCTCCGTAGCCCGACGAGAATAGTCTCGTATGAGGACCGGGAAGGGGTTAGGTTGTCTTGCCACTAGAAGTTTGGAGCCTGCAGGCATCCGCTGGGCTTCGCAAAGAGAGAGATTTCCCTGTCGAGTCCTCACCCACGGTTGCACAGGCCTTGTATTACGCATAAGAGTACGAGGAAAGGGTTGCCTTGGGGAAAAAGGGAGCTGGTACACCATCACTTCGTTTCCCAGTGCGGACGGGGATGTCGAGAGTAGTCCTGTCTCTCTTTCCCAAGCTCGGCCAATAAAGCAAAGGCATAGTCCATCTGATCGGACAACGTACGATACAAGCTGGACCTAAAAAGGCTGCCTCAAGTTTATTACGACGACAGCACCGGCGGAACATGCCAGCCTCTTATCATGGGCCGGTCACTCCAGCCAGCACGGCTAGCCCGTGAGCCGAAAAAAACCATAGGGATGGTATAACTGTAACATGACGACACCCCCAATGAGTGGAATGCTAGCCACAGGTACTGAATCGTGGATCAGAAGCCCGGGATAAGTAGCCGTTGTAGGAAGGTATACACAGCACGACAGCCTCAGAGAGTCCGCACTTGATGAAACGAGCTGCTCTGCGCTGAACATGACTGTTACAGACGTGTCGTATGGTCCGACTTCCCCGAGATTATGTATAGGGCCAGGTTGCGAGAGGGAAGGGACGGACCGGGGCCCTCGCTTCTGGATATCCAATGGAATCCGCGGTGAGGTGACAGGATATAAGTCCTATACAGCCGTAGTGAGACTATTGTGAGGGAGACTTGTGAGATTGTCATGTCGTCACACCTTTGTGTTGTGTAGTTGCGTGTAATCCAGCAGGGCTTGGGACGCACTCTGAGACTTTTTGGGTGTTTGCTTTCTGGCCTCCCTTTCCAGCTGGCTTGGCTTGCTTCAAGATCTGATGTTTGCCTCTGAAGCTCTGGTACATCTGGCACGTGGACTGAGGGATGGTCTCACGATTGTCTTTGGGCATGCTGGTTTCCTTCCAAGTTTGCATCGCAATTACCAGCATCGCCGGCGATGACGCCCCCTTGCAACGCGCCCATCCCAAATAAGCGGGCAAGAACATGACGGGAGGTCGTACTTGGGTGCGACAAGGGCGTCTGTCTCAGCCATTGGCTGTTGTCAAAGAAGCTGCCTGACGATTATCTCATATATGATTTCCAAATAGGGCGTTCTCGAAGACCCGGGCACTAGGTTCGGCGGAGGTAATCAACGGTCGGAGATGGAAGAATGCCACTGTCCGCCAATGACACTATTTGGAGGAGGGTTGGTAGGTTTGCAGAGTGTTCATGAGCCTCCGACTGGAAGAACCTTTGCCCGTCAATCCCTGATCATTGGTGACCATGCTGCTGATACGATAGCCAGTCTGGAATACGATCAGGAGTAAGAAGACACTATCAAGGTGAACCCATACCCCGATCATGGCCCTGAAACTCCAGAACGACCTGAAGGCGCGTCCAGTGCCGACATAGTAGAAAGAGACCGGTGAATGGCGCCAGTCGAAGAGTCGCAACTCGTTGTTGGTTTCGACCATGCCTCGTGTTCCCAGTCCCACACGACTGATCCAAGTCTGAAGCTCAGCAATTGCGGCTAACAGGAACAGTTATGAGGGCCACCTCTAGATGAGAGAACAGAATGAAGTCAACTCGGAATAGGCCTTCGTATCTGTGCCTCTGTTCTGATTTCACCGAATGCTCGGCTCGAAAAAGGCCAGCCAGTCGGGGCGAAAGAATATGCCATGCTCGGGTGGTGATCGATGCAGTGTGCGACCACGATGCTCAGCCGTGCTCGGCATCGGGTTTGAAAGGAAGGTTACTGTTCAGCTTCGATTCCGACGTCTTGAATAGCCTTGAAGCGCCATCTTAAACCTTTCTCCAGACCTACCGTGTAAGGGACGGATGAAATAATGGGTTTGACTCGTCGTGGCATGATTGTTGGAGACCATCGATCCTTTCGTCGCGAAACCAGCGGAGGGGGGGGGAGCATGGCAGACCATCTGTCATGACAGAGGAATGGGGACGGATGTTAAACTGCCAGATTGTGAATCTGACTTGGTAAAAGCCGCGCCGAAGAACAATTTCATGTTTCTTTATGGAGATGTCGTAAACGTGATCTTCCCGAGTGCCAATGTAAAGGGGGAAACAAACGTGACGGGAAGTGTCATCCGTCCTTGGACATTCCTGGACAGTCGAGCCAATACAAAACTGGCGGGAAGTTGAACCTCGGCCCGCCCCCGGATCTGTTAGTGCTTGGTTTCCCCGCGCTGAACCGGCAATGTTCATCAGTGATACACAGAGCTTATGTGTCCGAACTTGACTCTTTTCCTAACTCTTTATATGCGCTTTTTTGTCACGTCTTGATGAGATTACCTGGCTAGATTACGGAACGAAGACACAACCACATTTGAAACTAGAAAATTGGAAGAAAACTCACAATGTCCGAGTCCGCCAAGCAACGTATCCAGGCGATTGGTAACCACCTTGCCGTCGATAATACCGTCCCGCCCATTGTCAAAGTGGCTGGCGACTCGAATGGACCTAGAGTGACCGGAAAAGTGGTTATCATTACTGGTAAGTACAGCCTTGTGGCTGTATGCTTATCGTGGGTTGAAGCTAACGTTTCTGAAGGCGCAAACTCCATTCTCGGTATTGGCCGAGCATCCGCTCACCAGTTTGCTCAGAACGGGGCAAAGGCAGTCTACATCTGCGACTACGATGATTCAAATCTCGAAGCACATAAGCGCGAGATTGAAACATTATATCCCGGCGTGAATGTACACACGCGGCAGTTTGATGCCGCCGATGAGAAAGCCATCAGCGAAGTCGTCAAGGATGCTCTAGACCGCTACGGACGGCTCGATGTCTTCTTTGCCAACGCCGGAATCATTGGCCCTCATACCAAGTTCTCCGACATTGATGCTGACGTGTTTATGGACACGATGCGGGTCAACGCGCTCGGGTAAGACGCCTCGTTTTCTGTCCGAATTGAACTTTCTTGTCCGTTTCGTTTTTGAAGGGCATCGCTAACCATGCGTACCATCAAAGCCCCTTTCTTGCCGCCAAATACGCGGCGCCGGCCATGCAAAAGACATCGGCGGAGAAGCCAAAGTCGTCTGGGAGCATTATCATGACAGCATCGGTAGCCGGTCTGCGGTCCAACGCCGGAGGGACGCCATACTCGGCTTCCAAGGCAGCCGTCGTCAGCATGGCACAAACCATTGCCTACCAACTGGTTGGAACCAACATCCGGGTCAACGCTCTCTGCCCCGGCCTGATCGAGACGGGTATGACGGCGCCCGTGTTCGAGAGCGCACGAGCTCGAGGTACCGAACGCAAGATTGGACAGCTCAACCCTCTCAGGAGAGGTGGTCATGCTGACGAGATTGCGCGTGTGGCCTTGTTCCTGGGAAGTGATGAGAGTAGCTATGTCAATGCACAGGCTTGGGCGGTGGATGGCGGTCTAAGTTCTGGCCATCCTTATGTGCCCGGCAAGATTGCATAGACCACTGGGGCAGTATTGTGAAAGTGAGCTTGACCGAGAAATACCACATACTTTTGCCTCTCCTTGCCGCGCCAGTGTCGAGTATTCGGCATCCCTTGCTTGAACAGACACTGTGATGATGTGGTTTCGACGGCGGTAAACCGGGAAACCCTGAAGGTGTACTGTAGTTGTTGCTTGGAACCGCGGGCGGTCAGAAAGGGGGCATCTTCTTCCTCCACGTTGTATCCTTCACCGACTGGGTATAGCGGCATTACCATGTACATTGGTGTAGCATGTACCGTCCTTCTGGAGTCTTGGATAGAAAAGCATCTCCGGGCCAAACCTCCGTCTCCAGCTGTATGGCTACCAGACATGGACGAGTAAAGCTGTCTTGGCTGGGCACCTCTAATTTGGACCGGAAGGAGAACTGTAGCGAGTACAACAGACAACAGGCACATGACCCATAGAAGCTGGAAAGCATCTGGTGTGAAATCCAAATAAGCTCATCAGATTGTCCCACAACCAGACTGACCAGATTCAGTGCCTGTGAGAGCATGGGCGCCGAGACAGGAGGCGTGGGTGGGGGTTTGTCCCAGGGGAAGTTGGGGAAACGCGGGAAGCTAGGGATTAACAGCTGGCGATGCAGTGATACAGTGGGATGGCCAACCACTGGCCAATCACGAAGCCTGTCACGGATCTGGCAGCGGTGTGGGGTGCATCTCGGTGCATCTGTGGAAACGCCTCCCATGTGCTGGGATTGCCCGATGGCCTCTTTCTTTTGGTGAAGTCTCTTTCATGAAAGTTGATTTGTGTTCTCGGTTGCTTTCTCCGACCCAACCTTGCAATGTCTTTTCCATGTCCTAGGTGTCCAACTCGGCAGGCAAATTGACAACACCCAAGGTATCCGCCCGCGGAAGTTGGCCGTGCTAACCCTAGCACATTGAGATTTCCCAGCGAGGCGCCCTGGTCGCTTTTGTCCCAAGCCTGGGTTTAGAAACCGCGAACGTGTCGAACTCCTTGAGGAATGCTATCAATCATGCTACCACTCACTACCAAGTAAGGTATTGTCCGCCTCACTTGTCAAAATGAAATTAGACGTGACAGATGTGACTGCTTTGTAGAGGGTGGCATCTGATGTGAACGTGATGGCTGCCACAGTTGGTAAGGCGCGGCCGCCCTGTCGTAGGGAGTTACATAGTGTAAGAGCTGTTGGTTCCAGTGCCCCCCACTGCTTCTACTTTACTACACTCGCTTCTGCCTCTTTTGAGGGTCTAACGAACCATTGGCATCCCAGTTGCTGATTAATTTACACCATCTCCCTCCCTCAAGTTGTATTGGATACGGCGTCAAGATTTAACTGCAACCTCACCTCCCAGCTTACCACACCATTCAAGCTTTGAAGTTGCTTACCCTCGTAATAAACAGTACCACCCACCCTCGGACTATGCGGCTGGACTGTTGCCGAGCGAGCGAGGAGACCATGACGTTATGCCTTGGGTGCTCACGCGACCTGACTGCAGCCTTTTTTTCACTTTGCTTCTTACAATTTTAAACGTCTTCCACGAACTTGAATGAAAGCCAACTTGGACAAGTCCGTGCTCAAGGATGTGACCGGTATGCAAATTACTTGGTAACATTATGAGTGTTGCCCTTTTCTCTTCGCAGCAACTTGTACTCGGTAGCACTTCCTAGCACATGGCCGAAGCGAACCAGCTGGTGGCTAGGAGTGCAGAAAGTGTGAGTGGTTTCTTTACCAAATGGAAAAATATGCAATGCACCTGACTCGGACACTGTAAGCGTAATAATCTTACATATCTGCTGTGCAAATCGAAATGTTTTGGGACCATTTTGTCCGTTTCTCGGTCTCCGCTCGCATGTCCACGTCTGCGAGCTTGCTTGGGCTTGGATCGCACCGCGAGAGGGCCACGGGCCTTGTCGGAATTCGGAACTGGCCGTTGATGTGCATCATTGATCAGTCGCCCTTCAAATCTTGCTGCCTGGTCTGCGAATCTGGAAGCACTTGCCAGATGAGCCCGGAGGTGGAATTCCCAGTACACTCATAATACTGTAGAGGGCACGGTCGGGAATTCGGGAGACACCGGGAGTCATTTCATTCTCGATGGGTTTTTGCTGTTGGTTGTACCTGTGATGTCAGCCAATCCCGATATCTCCAGATAGTACTCCTCGCACTGAGTTGAGTCGCATTTTTTACTGTCTTTCAAACAGCCACCACAACTGAGAAGAGACCGAATCTTTGTGGCATTCCGTTCAGGGGCAGGGCAGTGAGGGGGTGCCAACCCGCTTTCTTTCATTCTGGTCCTAGGTGAGGTGCCAAGTGCCTGTACGTACACCGTCTTCAGTGGGTGAGTGGGATGGACGTCCGACGTTAGCAGGTGCAAGCTCAACCGGGCAGCCAGCCAGCTTTCTGCCGACCGAAACAGGGCGAGGCGAGTCGGGGATCCAGCCGTGCCAGCTTTAAAATGTTCCTAA